GCGGGTCGACGAGGCGCCGCGGCCCGGCCCCGCAGGAGGTCGGCCGCGCCCGAGGCCGCCCGCGGGAACGCCACGGTGCCCGTGGCGAACGTCGCCCGCTGGAGCGCGAGTCTGGCGCGCGCAGGAAGCGCGCATCCCCTCCGCGGAGGGGGGCCCCGCCGCGGGCGCAGCCAAGGCGCGAGGCAAGTAGCTGCAGGCGCGGCCCAGCGCCGGGGGCGAGCACCTGCTGCCTGCCGCGCATTCGCTGGACCGCTGCAAGGGCGGAACCGATGTCCGGGCTGTCCGGGCGGCACGCGGGACGGCGCCAGCATCTCGCGGTGTACTTCGCGGGGCAGGTTGCGCAATTCATATTTTGAATTGCCATGGCCACGCCGGCGGCGCGCCTGACGCAGAGCGCTGCTAGAGGGGCTCGAGTGGCTGCAGGGCCTCGGCGGGGCGCTCGTACTGCTGGTGGGCGACATCAAGTGCAGCCTCGGCGACTCTGGGCTGGAAGGCCTCTTGGGTTTGGCGGGATGGAGGGACCTCCTCGCCGATGCTGGCCCCGCGCGCATCCCGTCGCATGGGGGCCCCTCGCGGATCGATTACGCTCTGGCCAACGCCGCGGCCAAGGCGACGGTGGCTAGGGTCGGGTTGCGCTGGGGCATGAGGATGGCGACGCACGCGCGCCGCGCTGCTGGTTGGAGTTGCGGGCCACGAAGCCGGAGCCGGCACCTCTGCGGCAGCCGGTCGCAGCCATGGATGGCTGCGTCGTGGAGGGCGGGGGCGCGCAGGCGGCGGGAGCGACTGCGGCGGCCGTGCAGGCTGGTCGCGAGGCGGCGCTCCATGGCGCTATCGGTCGCCATGATCTCCCTGCCGCGTGGCAGCAGCTCGGCGCGGCCATGCGGGAATGGCTGGCGGTGCGGCGCGGGCCGCCAGCCGCTCCGAGGCGCCCGCGCGCGGCGGCGGCACGCTGGGCCGACCGCCGCCCCGCAATCGGCGGCGGGGGCGCGGCGGCGGACGCCGCTGCAGATGCTGCGCTGCTCAGGCTTCGGCGGCTGCGCGGCTTCCAGCACGATCGGAGGCGATCGGGAGGGGCGGCGCGGGGCGTCGCGCAGGCCACCCTGGCGGCGTCGCGAGCCGCGATCGCGCGGTGGAGCGGCGTCGGGCCAGCGCTGCGGCCAGGGCGCGCCGTCGCGACAGTTGGCGGCTGTGGGTCCGCGATTGTCTGGCGAATCGGCAGGGCCGGCTGTGCCGGTGGATCCGCGGAGCCTGCGCCTTGGACGCGGCGCTCGCGCCGGGTCCGGAGGTCGCTGTCGGCGCCGCCCGCGTCCCCGGTCGGGGGCAATCCGTGACCCCCCGCGCGCGGCGGCGGCCCTGCAGCGCAGCTCCGCTTCATCCAAGGGCCGCTGCGCGAGCTATGGCAGCGGCAGCCGTGCGAGGCGCTCGACGAGGCGCAATTGCAGGAGATGGGCGGCCCCCCGCCTTGCCCGGAGCGCGTTTCCTGGGCCGCTGAGCTCGCGGCGGGGCCCCTGCGCCGCATGCCCAAATTAAACGGAAAAGCCCGGGGTCGACGGGCGGGCGGTCGGCGAGCTTCGCCTGCTGCCGGCCGAGCTGCATGCACGCTGGATCGCCGCTTTTCTGGGGGAGGCGGTGGAGGCGACAAGCGAGCGGCCCCGTGAGCTCGCGGAGCCAGAGGGCCTGCCGCTTCCTACAGCTGATGGCGGCGCTGGGCCCCTGCTCCGACTTGTTTCCTTCCCCCGTCTTCTCCCCCCCGTGCCGCGGGGCTTCTGTGCGCTCGTAAAAAGTGCACGGCGGCCCGCAGTGTGTCTCGCGAGAAGGGCCGTTCGCCCATCCGCGCCAGTTCGCTGAGCTCTGCGGAATAAGGCCTGCACATGTGTAAACCGTTTATTTCAGACGTGCTCGTCGGTTGCCAAGGGTTTTTTGGGGCGCCTGCAATCTTGGGTTTTCGGGAGTGCCCGCCCGTTGCCAGAGGCGCTCCAAACGCGGGGTGCGTTCCATCCATCCTCGCCTAGCCGAGAGCGTCCCAGGGGTGCCCAACTTCCACGACCGCAGCCAGCTACCGTAGGCACGCCTTGGAAACACTAGACTGGCTCATCGCCATGTAGCGAACAGGTCCTGAGGGAAACCGGTTCATAGGTTTTTGTTCGACGCCTTCGTTCTCTAGGGACTCTTTCCGGGCTCGAGATCCGTCAACAAATTTCCCAGGATGAAGAGTTGGTCTCCGGGGAAAGCTTCAGGTTCAGGACCTGTTTCTTGTAGCACCCCTTTTATTAACGTTCTCTTTTCTGGGGTCGTTAGTTTTGGGTCCCCCCACTGTTTCTCTCGACGGGGAATAAACTCCGCCCCTCTTTCTCCTGCTCTTCTTGCCTTCTGCTGATGCTCCTCGCCCTCCTCCTCCACCTCCACCTCCTCGTTTTCCTCTTTTTCCTCCTTTTCCTCCTATTCTTCCTCTTCCTCCTCCTCCTCCTCCTCCTCCTCCTCCTCCTCCTCCTCCTCCTCCTCCTCCTCCTCCTCCTCCTCCTCCTCCTCCTCCTGCTCCTGTCGATCCTTGCGCAACCGAGTCCTTCCAGGTGAAGGGGCAGGGTGGCGGGCGACGACGAGCGGCGCGAGGGAAGGGAATCGGGGCGGAGGGGCGCGCTGGCTGGCGGGCGGGGGGTGCGCGGACAGGGCGCGCGGGGCGGGGGGGGGCGCGCCGAAATAAGAGAGTCGGGGCGGAGGTGGCGCGCTGGCTGGCGGGCGTGAGGGGCGCGCGCGGAAGTGGGCGCGTGGGATGGGGGGGAGGTGCCGTGCCGAAATGAAAGGGTCGGGGCTGGATGGTGGGCGGGGTGGTGGTGGTCCGGGTGGGCGGGGGGGTGAGGATGGGGCGGGGGAGATGGGGGCGCGCTGGGGGCGCGCCAGCTGGTGGAATGGGTGGGTGATGGAGGTGCCTCGCCAAAATAAAGTCGTCGGGGCTCTACAGACACCCTCTGCAAGAGAACAAAACGTGGCGGGGCGGAAAGGGCGCGCTGGCCGGCGGGTGGGGGGGATTGGCGGGGGCGCGCGGGATGGGGGGGCGGTGCCGCGCCGATATGAATGGGTCGGGGCAGAGGGGGCGCGCGGGCTGGTGGATGGGGCGGTAAAGGCGGGGCTCGCGGGGGGGCGCGCGGGGCGCGGGGTGGCGGCGCCGTGCCGAAATCAAAGGTCGTGGGGCGGAAAGGGCGCGTTGGCTGGCGGGTGGGGGGCGGGAGCGCGCGGGATGGGGGGGGCGGCGTTGTACCGAAATTCAGGGGCCGGGGTGGAAAAAGGGGGGCGCTGGCTTTCGGGCGGGGCCGCGCGCAGGGGGCGTTCGGGTCGGGGGGGGTGGCGGGCCGCGCTGAAAAAATAGTTGGGGCGAAGGGGGGGTTGGCGCGCTGGCTGGCGCGTGGGGCGACGCAGAAGTGGCGCTCGGGATGGGGGGCAGCGCAATGCCTACATGAAAAAAGTCGGGGCGGAGGGGACGCTCTGGTTGGCGGTGGAATGATGCGGGAGGGGGCGGTGCCGTGCCGAAGTGGAGGGGATGGGATGGGGGTCGGTGCTGTGCCGAAAGAAAGGGGCCCGGGCGGAGGGGGCGCGATGGCTAGCGGGCGGGGGGGCGCGGAGGGGGGCGGGCCGGGTATAGTAAGGGGTTGGGGCGGGGCCGTGCCGAAATCTGGGGGTCGGGGCGGAGGGGGCGCGCTGGCTGGTTTGTGGGGGGGGGCGCGGAAGAGGCGCGCGGGATGGGGGGGGCGGTGCCGTGCCGATCTAACGGGGTCGGGGCGACGAAGGGTGCAAGCTGGCTGGTGGGTGGAGGGATGCGGGCGGGGGGCGGTCGGGATGGGGGGGCGGTGCCGTGCCGAAGTAAAAGGGGTCGGGGCGGAGGGGGCGCGCTGGCTGGTGGGCGGGGCGACGGGGGTGGCGCGCGGGATGGGGTGGTGGCGCCGCGCCGACATCAAAGGGGTCGCAGCGGAGTGGGCGTGCTGACTGGCGGGCGGGGCGATGCGGAAGGGGCGTTCGGGATGGGGGAGCGGTGCCGTGCCGAAAGGTCGGGGCAGAGGGGGCGCGCTGACTGGTGGGCGGGGGGATGCGGGATGCGGTGCCGTGCCGAAGTAGAAGGGGTCGGGGCGGAGGGGGCGCGTTGGCTGGTGGGTGGGGGGATGCGGAAGGGGCGCGCGGGATGGGACAGGGGCGGTGCCGTGCCGAAGTAGGGGGGTCGGGGCGGAAGGCGTGCGATGTTTGGTTTGTGGGGTGGTGCAGAGGGGCGCTCGGGATGGGGGTTCCCCTGGTACCGTGCCGAAATAAGAGGGTCGGGGCGGGTAGGGCGCGCTGGCTAGTGCGCGGGGTGGGTGGGGTGATGCGGAAGTGGCGAGCAGGATGGGAGGGGGCCGTGCCGTTCCGGAATAATGTGGTCGGAGTTCTAGACACCCTGCGCAAGAGAAGAAGCTTGTTTCCGTTATTGGTGGGGCCCCAGCCCGTCAAGAAGGGCAACGAATACATACATATCTATATAAATATATGTATTGTTTCCACTGTTGGGGGGTGGGGTTCCAAAGACCCCATCGAGGAAGCGAACAAGACCGCCAACATAGAATTCCGCAGGTCTTTGCGGATTTGTTTTCGGGGACTTCGGCAGGCGGTGGGTGTGGAGATGATCAGGCCCCGGGATGGCCAAATCTGACCCATGTCCACCACTTGCCGAAGTCCTCCAAAATCGATCCCCCAGGCGGTGGTGAGGGATCAAGCCCCGCCCAGCAGAGCGCGTGGGCCAGCGCCCGGCCCGTGCCCTTGACGTGTTCGGCGCCGTCGCCCGCTTGAGGCCGCGAGGTCGGTGTGGCATCTTTCGAGGTTGGCGTGCGCATGCGCCCCTCGGGCTGCCGTCGGAGGGCACCGGCTATACACCTGCACTGGGCCTGGCCAGGCTCACCCTGGGCCCACGATCGGTGTGTATGCCTTCGTGCCCAAGCCTGGGCGCGAAGGCATGCACACCGATCGTGCTCTCTGTCGAGGTGGTCGCGCGGCAGGAGTCGAAGTTCGCGCCGCCTCCCGCGTCCTACGTGCCGAAGGAGTTGGCGGGGCAGAGGCGAGGAGGGCAAGGGGGCAGACTGGTGGAGGAAGGAGAAGGATGGCAGCATGGCTGCAGCACCGCGCGCGTCTCGGAGCTCTCCTCGCAGCCACTTGCCTGTAGGACGAGGGAGGCGGGTACGTGTGGGCCGCGGGGGTCCGCGGGGAACGCCAAGCAGGGAAGGACACATGGATGGAGGCGGTGGACTGGAGGCTGGTCGAGGGAAGGGAGCCAGAGAAGAGAACAAGCTCGAGGGCGGAGGAGGAGGAGGAGGAGGAGGAGGAGGAGGAGGAGGAGGAGGAGGGATATTCGAGAAGGTCCATGCGCCTCTGCTGTCCGCTCGTGGTCCCCCCTCTCCCCCGGGGCCCGCCAGAGGCGCGGCGGGAGAGGGGGACAGTTTTTTTCCGGATGTCGAACATGACCGAAAGGCTTCGAAGAGGGGAGAGGGATCGAGGGACCCAGTTTCTCTTCTCCTCCCCTTCTCCAGTTGCACAGCCCACGATGAGCTATATCTTGCAGCTGTCATTCGCGAATGCAGGTCTGGAGGGATATCACAGTCGGCAGACACAGAGAAGAGTCCAACGCAGTGGAACAGGCGGGTCCGAATGGTATGATGTCAGACTTGGTGCGGCCTAGCTTCACAGCTCCCCACTCTGATTACTACTCTCCTCTCTCCCCTGATGTCGCCCTTGCTTGAGAGAGCTAGCTCGAGAGGCAGGATGTGTCCGACGTGGCTGTTGATTTGGTTTTTTCCCTTGAGAACTTCATTGGCTTTTCAAGAATTATGGTGTTCCCGCTTCCCCGCTGGCAGAATTCAAGGTCCAGCTTTTTGCTCCCGTCGTTTAGAATGGTGTTTTCGATCCAGCGCGGACTACAGTTCTGGATCCCAGTCCGTCCTCGTCGTTGCCACCCCTCTTTTTAACCTCCTCTGCGGTCCTGAACTATTGGATAGCGTGTCGGTCCGCTGGTTCTGGCCCATCACGTCTCGACGCGACACGGTATCCATTTCTGCCCCCCCCAGCGTCAATTTCCCGAGCCCGGGCGGCCGCCGCGACACCCTATCCAAAAGATCCAAGCCGTATGTATTCTCCTGCTCCTCCCGCGCAACCTACGGTAGGTTCATGCGGCGTTGGCGCGTTGGCGACGCTGGCGAAAACGTTCAAAATTGAATTCTGCGACGCGGAAACAGCGAAGGACATTGTAACCCCATTGGGCCCGACGGAATCCAACCTTGAACGATCGGGACCGCGATCGATTCAAGTCAGAACGATCGACTCGGTGAACAATCTTCTGTGGCCGCTGCTCCGCCCTCCTCATCTGTGTTGTTCTTTTGGTCATCGGAAGAGAAGCCCTGCTCGAAAGGGCAGGCCCGCTAGCTGGGGGGGGGGGGGGGGCTTCTCCAGGAGCAGGCCGCAGGTGTCCAGGACACGATCTTGCTGACTTAGCCCAGGGCCAGGCGGCACCTTCGCTGTAGAGATGTGCGAGGCGGCATGACAGAGACAGGCGGGCCCCGAAGGCATGACCCAGGATCTATGGTCCGTCTGGCCCTCCGCACCTCGTCTTAGCCACCGATGCGGACACGGGGTCGCACTGATGGATCTGACGAGGCATCTTTGCTCAGGAAGGGTGGCGCACTGGACCTCACGAGGGCCCACCACATCCGCCACCTCTCCTCCGCCACCTCCTCCACCTCCTCCAATGTGGAGGGGGGTAACTTAATGCGAAGCCTTGCTCGTTTCGGGCTCAGCTCTCGGGGTCCCTGCGCGGGAGCGCCGTCGGCAGGTTGTGGCGCCCCCCGAGTGTCCTAGAGTCCTGTCCCTAACTCGTTAGAGCGTTGTTTTTCTGCATGCTGAGCGTGGTGGTGCCTTCATAGCCGTTGCCGAGCTCCTCCTCCTCCAATCTACACAATTTCCCTTTCTCATTCCGCATCGAACGATGGGGCCACTTGGGGAGGTCCAGGTCCACCAGGAAACCCGTCGGCGGATAGAGAGAAAGCTCGTCGCATCGGCAAGGGATGGACAGTATGGGGCCAGATAGGCAGACATGGCGCGAACGCACCTGGCTTGTCTTTCCCCTCGGTCCTTCCTCCTTCCTCCCCCCCACCCCCACCCATCGAGACAGAGAGAGAGAGAGAGACAGAAGCGCGGGAGCATTACCCTCCGGCTCCCTTCTGGGATCCGGGCCGTGGAAAGCACAGAGTGGTGGCCACGATGTCGGACGAGTGTGACGTGCTGGACTCCATGGTCTTCCTTGTCAAGGCCACGGCCTCCGCACCATGATCCGATTTGGCGGCGAGCCTGGGGGGAAGTGCCAAGGGGTGTGGGCCTTTTCAAAAGGCTCGGAAGGCCTCGGGCGTGCCGAGAAGTTTTCGAAGCCCCAACCGAAGACGCAGACAAACTTCTCAGAAGGCGCGAGGGCCTCTGAGAAGTCCCTCCCCCTCCTGACAATGCCTTCTCCTTCTCGTTCCCCCCCGCCGCTCGCCGCCGACCGAAGGCACGGGCGGACCCCGGTGCAGAACGCACGGCTCTGGCGTTCCTTCGCTCGTCCGCCCGCCCGCCCGAGGCCCGCCGACGCGCGCGCAAGCGCGCGCGTGCGCGCCCCCGAGGAGGAGCCGCCGGCCACGGCCGGAGAGGACCGCGGGATCGGAGGCGCGTCCGCCGCCCCTGCGGCGACCCCTCCTCCTCCTCCTCCTCCTCCTCCTCCTCCTCCTCCTCCTCCTCCTCCCCCTCCTCCCCCTCCTCCCCCTCCTCCTCCTCCTCCTCCTCCTCCTCCTCCTCCTCCTCCTCCTCCTCCTCCTCCTCCTCCTCCTCCTGCGGCGACCCAGGAGGATGACCGAGAGCCCATGTCAGGGGCGACGTCAAGGGTCGCAGGCGATTTCTCTCCCCCAATCCCCGACTTCCGCCAGAAAAGTTTGGTCGCTCAGAAAAGGGGAGGAATCTTGGGATACATCCCGAGGGGGCTATTCGGACGCACTGTCGAGGATGGACGCCCCCCCCTCGTATATCCCAGGGTTGGGCCCCAAATTGTTGATCCTCTCGAAAACCTCACGGAGCCTGGGATAGGGGTCGACGCATCCCCTGTTAAAGGGGTATGTATCCAGCAGCGGCGAGGCGTCCTGGCTTGCCTACTGGCCCACAAAAATGTTCTAGGAACCTCATGTGGTCTGCACGAGATGCTCTGAGAGCACTTGTTGCTGAGACCGTCTTGCTTTACTACATCGGGGCTGTGTTCCAAGAAGACTGGTTCTCTTCATAGAGCATCATTTCGTTCTGAGAAAATTTGGAGGGCCTAAGGGAACGCCGGGACGGTTGGTCCCTGCTCAAGGATAGGTTCAGGTGGTACGCATCGCACATTGATCTCCGATATGGGGCCCGATAGCCCATCCCGCCCAGGGCCGTTTGGATTCGCTGTCGAGGGCCTGTCGCAGATATGTCAGCGATGTATCGCCGATTCCAGGTCAACGTTTTCCCCCTGAGCCTTTCCCGCCGAATGTTCCCCCTCACCATGGGTCGGCGGCTCCAAGGTGGGGTCCTGAGGGTGGGGCTCAAAAGGCAAGTCGATTCGGACAGTGAAGGCTCGGCTTGGGTGCCTTTGTCTATCCTCAGGGCCCCAGCTCCGAACTGCCAACAGTGTCTGGGTGCTGTCACTCAGGATGCAGGCCCAAGGATATGGAGGATCCATGCTCGGTGGCCCAGGATCGAGGATCCAGGATCGGCGATCGACGGCTCAGGATCGAGGTTCCAGGGTCCAGAGTCGAGGATCAAGCCATCAAGGACGAGGACCTAAGGTCTGGGGTCCATGATCTGGCCACCCAGGATGAGGCTAGGCTGTTCAGGACCCAGGGTCCAGGAAGCAGAATGCCAGATCGAAGATGCCTTCACTGGGCATGTATTGGTGCCGCGCTTGGTCCCGAAAACAAGGACGCGGGGCCGAGGCGGCCGAGGATCGAGGATGAGGTGGAGGATGGTCCAGGCAGACGGCTGGCCTGGGCATGCGCTGGTGGCCTCTGCGTGTCGTGCCATGCCTCGCTGACGCCACGCGCCTCCTGCCCGAGCCAGACGCCTCCAGCCAGTCTTGGCAGGAGGCCGGCCCGAGACGGAGAGGAGGGTCCGGACCGCCTTGTGAGGAGACTTTTCAAGTGCCCGGCGATAACAAGGGTTCTGGGGCCCGTCCCACCTCTGGATAACCTGACCCTTGGCATCGCTCGGACTTGTGTGCAATTTTTCTCGGCTGGGGCCATCGAGAAGCATCCTCGACCATCGGGCCAACAAAACACGCGCGAAACCGAAAAATGCACAGGGAAGGAACATCCGAGCGATGGCGAGGACCTTGTCGGCTTAACAGGGTACGCAGCACTATAGTGCGCGCGGGCATACGTGGTGCTGCCCACAGCGAGAAGGTTAGGTCATCGGCTGGCACCGCCCCGCCCCCCCCCAACACCCCACTCCAGGTAACCAGGGCTATCGCCAAAGAGTTCGAAACGATCTCAAGGGCAGCGTCAGAAGGGGGATCGGCCCAGGGGCAGCCCCAGGGGCGACGTAAGCCGTAACATTCGGGTTCGAGGTTCGAGGTATCTCGAGCGTTTTCGTCGGTTCTCGGTGGTTTTCTGGCCTCGGGGTGTTCTCAAGCAGGTGCGCATCGCCGAGAGCGTTCTGGCGATGCCGGCCGGGGCTGTCCCGAACGGCTGCAGGAGAGCCGAACTACGACCCGAACGCCAGTTGGCAGCGTCAGGTGGGGATATGCTCGGGTTGGGATACATCGACCCCCAGTCGCCTATTCATCGCCGATGGGGACCCGATAGCCCACCCCGTCCAGGACAGTGCGGATTTGCTATCGAGAGCATATCGCCGATCTTCCCACGATGTATCCACGATTCCAGGTCGACCTGTGCCCCCTGAGCTGCACCCCCCCCTGTATCACGTTGCTCATCAGCATGCCTGCGAGAGGCCCGAGTTCGTCGCGTCCGTCAAGTCCTCGGGTGCCAGATGCATATGACGGGCAGGGTTCAGGAGGGGAACAAACACACAGACACAATTAATCGTCGATCCCCAGGGTAATATGGGAAAGTATAGGAAGTGGGGGGAAGACAAACACCCTGAAAATATGGGAACATATCGGTAATCCTGTTATTTGTGTCTATCCGTAAGGGCTTCGCCCCCTGCCGCCGGCCCCCTCTCTTGGAGAATGGGCCATGGAAGAGCGAAGTCATGAGACTTTGGCGTCGCCGTGAAGCAGTGTCAGGACCTGTTTGTTTACCATGACCCTACGGACCTGCGTGAGGGGTGCCGCCGAATTCCAGAAATGTGGCAAATCTTTTGTGTTTTTGGACCCTGACCCTACGGATCTGCGTGAGGGGTGCCGCCGAATTTCAGAAATGTCGCAAATCCCATGTGTTTTTAGACCCTGACCCCGCCGATCTGCGTGAGGGGTGCCACCGAATTTCACAAATCCCTTGTGGGTTTGGACCCTGACCCCGCCGATCTGCGTGAGGGGTGCCACCGAATTTCAGAAATGTGGCAAATTCCGTGTGTTTTTGCACCCTGACCCCGCCGATCTGCATGAGATGTGCCACTGAATTTCAGACATGTGGCAAATCCATTTTTTTTTTACCCTGACCCCGCCGATCTACGTGAGGTGTACCACCGGATTTTAATAATGTGGCAAATCCCACGTGTTTTTGGACCCTGACCCCGCCGATCTGCGTGATGGGTGCCACCCAATTTCAGAAATGTAGCAGATCCCTTTTGTTTTTCGACCTTGACCTCGCCGATCTGCGTGAGGGGTGCCACCGAATTTCAGAATGTGGCAAATCCTTGTTGTTTTTGGACCCTGACCCCGCCGATCTGCGCAAGGGGTTCCACCAAATTTAATAAATGTGGCAAATTCCGTGTGTGATTGGACCCTGACCCCGCCGATCTGCGTGATGGGGTGCCACCGAATTTCAGACACGTGGCGAATCCATTGTGTTTTTTGGACCCTGACCCCGCCGATCTGCGTGAGGAGTGCTAATTTTTACCCACCCCCAGCAATTCAGACAAAACGATTTGGGGAAGCTGCAACTGGTAGAGGAAACTGCGAAACCCCCACATGCAGCCGCGTCCGCGCCTCGATCGAGGACACGCGTGGGTGATGGCGAGAGCCCGCCCTCATTTGAGGGCAGGGCTCGGCGAAGTGCTGTACAGACGGTTCCCACCAGCATGAGCGTTAGCTGGGTCATGATGGTTTTCCTGATGCTGCTGCCCTGTGCCAACGGCGTCAAGACTGACTTCAACGAGACCTCGGAGTGCTACACCTCGACGGTCTCGATGGGGCTCACCGCGTGCACTTTCACAAGGAGCTCATCAAGCTTGGGAGCTTGGGGGGAAGCTGTATAGGCTGCATGTTTCACCTTCTACTTCTTTGGGAACTGCTTGCTATGTGCCTGGCGCTCGTGCGCATGTGGCAGGCTTGGTGCAGCAGCTCAGCCAGTAAGACTGCACCACAATACTACGACTCGTCGATGTTTCACTTGGTTCTGGTTGGGTCGCGGCGGACTGTGTCCAGCGCGCGCCGTGCAGGGCCTGCACGCCACCGTGATCCTTGATGGCGAGGGCTTCACGGAGATCGTCTACGGCCTCGAAGGCGAGGTCGGTTTGGGCGACACGCTTCTCTTGTGCTTCCTGGTGCTGGCCTTCTACCGCTCCGGAGGCGGCACGTCCGTCCCCTCCAGCGCCTGCTGCGCCATGGATGCCATCTTTTGGCTCGTGCCACCTCGCGGCTACGCTTGGGGCAAGAGCAGCGACTGATGCTGAACGGCGCGGGACCCACACGTCCAGGCCGTCACGGCGAGTATGGCCACACAGCAGGCGATGATGCATATCATGGGATTTTGTATCCTGCAGGTCTCCTTCTGCGTCGCGTGCGGCACGCTGCACGTGAGTGCTGTCACCTGGGTGGTGTTTTTCTTCATCCGGGCCGACTCCTCTCACTCCTGGGTGCTGTTCTTCTATATCCAGGTCGTCTATTTTTGCGGCATCTGCAGCATCTTGTGCGTGGATGTCTTCAATTGGTTGATCTGCTGCGTCATCCAGGTCGACTTCTTCAACTGGGTGCTGCGCTTCTTCACACAGGACGGCTGCTTTGGCGACGCCGTCGGCGCGTCCCTCATCATGGTCACCGCGCTGAGCCTGGTCCTCTGGGCTCCCAGCTTCGAGGAAGAGGAGGGGACCAGGGCGGTGGACCACAGACGCGGGCCAGGAAAGCTCAAGAACAGCAGCTCTTGGCCAGGCTTCAGCAGCTGCTGGCTAACTTCTCGGAGCCATCCGGGAACAGGCCTCCGCCCTCTGCAGGCAGCGCTCCCCGGGAGCCGCGCCCTTCGCAGTCGAAGCGCCGCAAGGCGCAGCGCCAGTCGGCGCGCGAGGAGGGCCTCCTGGGCGCTCTCCCGAAGAGTGTGGCGCGCGCCAAGGACAACGACACCGCGTCCTTGCTCTCCAAGCTCAAGGCGGTGGTGGCGGTGGCTGCTGATGGCCGGCTCGAGGCTTCGCCCACGGCCGAGCCCAAGGCCGCCCCCAAAGCGAAGCCGCCGCCTCGCTCGGCCGCCCCTCCGAGCGAGCACCTGCTCGGCGCCCCCCCTCCGGCTGCGGCGCCTCCGCCCAGCTTCAAGCCCACGCATCTCTACCCAGCGCATTGGCACGGCACTGTCGTGGACAAGCTCGACGCCCTGTTCGAGGTGCAAGCTGGGAATCATCTGATATAGAGGGAACAAGGCCCCTGCCGGCCTTGCTGGCCACACCATGCCCGACCGGGCCACGAATTCGATGCTCCTCAGGGCCCCGGACCCGCTTGCCGTGACTGTCCGAGCGCCCGCATTCGACAGCAAGGGCACCCCCAAAGTGGTGAACCTTTACCTCCGAAAGTTTGGGGCGTCTGCCGCAGCCCTGCGATGGACTACGCAGGAATGCAAGCCCCTACCTGCCGCGGTGACCACACGGGTCTTGCGGCTCGCTGTCTTCATGGCCTTTTCGACGGACAGGGAATGGGCAGCCCGCAGCAAAAACGTGAAGACGGTTGTCAAAGCCTGGCTGGCCAGTCTTCGCGTCCCAGCCGCTGACGTGATGGACATCTTCAAGCCTTGCCGCAGCGAGGACGGCAACATCCTCTCCGTGAACGTCCGTGTCGCGGCGACTCACGCCGAGCTCATCGACAGGGCTTCTGGTGTGGGTGGGTGGCTGTCTCGTCTTTTACCCGAGGACCCGAAAACGCTCCCTACCTATGGAAACGTCATGTGGGTCAAGCGCCTCGACGATGAGACGGGCCGTGCCCTGCTGACACGAGCATGTGGCCTAGCTGAGCATTCCTCGCCGTGCTTGGGCCTTGCCTTCAGCAACTCTGGCTCGCTCGGGTTGCGGATCCCCGGCGGACTCCGAGAGACGTCGTGGAGAGTTTCTGGACTACCACGGTCACTCACCATCCAGCAGTTTGCAGATTAGTTGACTGCAAATGCGTGGCCAACTGTGGATATATCTACCTCGGCGTCGGACCAGATCTTCTGGTTCTTCTTTCATTTTTCGAGGTCGGAACCCTGGTGGCGCCAACACCGCGACGACTCTTAGCACCACGTGTGGCGACAAGATCGTGTACATAGATTTTGAACCGTATCGACCTGCATCTAAACCTACGGCGTTCAGAAACCTTTGCAACGGAGAGCTGCGATGGGACGTTCCTCCCCCGGCCGCTGATCCCGGCAAGTCGGCGAAGGTGGCGGAGCCCGCAGAGAAGGAGGCCCAGGCGGCCAAGCGGGCTCAATTGTCCGCTGATGCCGGGTCGCAGGCTGCTGCTGCAGGAGGCGATGCCGCCACGGCCCCAGCCAAGGAAGAGGTCTTCGAGGACCTCGGCCTCACCGTCAAGCCCGTCCCCAAGGACGGCGCATGCGCATTTCATGCTTTGAGCTTCTGGTTCCAGAAGGCCCAGAAGTCCGTGACCTCAGCTGCAGCGATCCGGGCACAGACCGTGGATCACCTGGAGCAGCGCAGCAGTCAGTTCGAGCCGCACTGGGATCGCATTGGGCCCGTGATCAACGGCAAGGTCCGCGAGTGCGCTACCTGGTCATCTTACATTACTGCGATGCGGGTCCACAACGCGTGAGCTGGTGAGCTTGATCTCTTGGCAGCGGCGGACCGATGGAATCGTAAGATTATAATTGTCCGCCCAGGCGATTCGACAGTGATCTGCGGAGCTGGCAAAAGCGTCGTCTGGTTGGTTTACTGGAACAGCCACTACGAGCCGCTGGACCCCAGCAAGGACCACAACCACAGCCAGGCACGCCGTGCTCATATTGAAGCCGTGGCTGCCCACTTCCGTTTCCACCTCCCGCAGGGCGGATCGGTGGCCACCCAGCGGCAGTGGAAACTCAAAAGCGGCGGGCGCTTTGGCGCAGCATCGATTGCATCATCACGTACTTTGCGATGCCCGAGTTCTTCTCCATCGGGTACCTTTCGGAGCGCTCCGGCTCGCGCGCTGGCTGCTGGGAGTGTTGCTTCTGAGACGTTGCTGGCCGAATCTGCCAGTATCGCCGGCACGCTCAAGTCTTCGAAGGGGCCTCGCGCCGGCTTGTGCACCCAGGTGGTGCCCTGGACGCCCTTCAGGTGCAACAGCATCAGGGCGCGCGGCGAAAGCGGCGCGTCAGCGAGCATGCCGACTTTCGCTACGCATGGCGCTAACGCCGCAGCCACCACGAAGAAGTCGATGACCCTCCCTGCTGGGGCCTCGTTGCGCGGATCGCCCTTCGGAACGAGGTCCGCATCTGACGCTCGAGGTGGCTCTGGCGGCCGGCGCGGGTCCTCGGTCGTTTCCATGCGGCTTGGGTAGTCCCCTTGAATCACCCATGGGGAGTCGCAGCCGAGCACGATCTCACTGACCTTCTCCAATGCATCTACGTTTGGTCCGTGGGCGCCTCCCTGGAGACTGTGCACGCGGTTGCCAGCAGGAGCCCGCCCGGAAGTTCGTATCCAGCCAGGTCCACTTTGGGGACTGGTATGGACGGTCGCTGCATACCAGCGGCACGCCATATACCCTCAGATTGCTCCAAGGCCCCCCTCTGGTCTTCGCTGCCAGCCCGATCGAATATGAGTAGTCTCTGGCAGCTTCCCAGGTCTTGGCCGGCAATGCCCCGCCCTCTGTGGAGAGACGCGTCTCTTGCAGGCCGATGACGTCAGGGCTGGGGCAGCGATCCGAGAGACCATACTCTCGAAGAGCACCTTCGGCAGCTTCGCCGCGGACCCAGTGAAGTATGACACGCGCTGAAGTCCAAGCGTTGCTGTTCGCTCCAAGGAACGTAAGCTCAGACAGTGAAGTCGCAGGAGGTGACCTCGTATAGATACGCTGTACTCGAGCAGGGTGCATCCCTGTCGCGTTACCCACGCCCCACGCTGCTTCTGCTTCTGCTTACCAATTCTGCAAAAGACGTGCCCCGTCCGCTCGAACAACCGCTTGGCCTTCTTAGTCCGCTCCTCCTCCTCCAGCTTCTGCCGCTTGGACGCGTTGGCCTCCTCGTCGGCGGCAGCGTCCTCAACCTCCGCGGGCATGTCGATGAGCTCCAGGTTCGCCGCCCTGTCCTCGGACTCCAGCATGTCCAAATCTGGGGCCATGGAGGCTGCGTTCGAGGAAGGGGGTGGGGCACCACCTGGGCCTGCGGCCCCGCCAGCCCGAGCACCAGCAGGAGCAGGGCCATGCGGAGCGCCAGCACCACCCCCCGCTGCTACTGCGGAGGCCGTCGCTGCTGCCGCGGCGGCTGCGTCCTGGGGGGCCTTCTCCAAGGCAGGCCGCAGAGTCTCGTCGAGGGCCACTCGCGGTCTTGATCTTCTCTGGGCATTTCGGCATTCTCGCCATGGCCGCGAGGTAGTTCACCAGTGCCTTGAAGGCGGTGAACGCGTCCTTCGGGTCAGCGGAGACTGGGGGAGGTGATAGGGAAGTCTGGATGCGTTTGGCAACATACTCGCGCTGCTGCTACAACTCTCTATACTTCTCCTCAGTCTTGCTGACTTCCTTCCTCCTGGAATCCAGGGCTTGTCCGAATCCGTCTGGTCCTGGACCCTGGCCGTCTAGGCTTTGGGCGCCCTGATCTGGGTGGCGGTGGGCTTCTCGGCCGAGAGCAACGACTGAAGCTCCTTCTCCCGCGCCCGCTTTTTGATCAAGATCGCGGCAACCGTGGATCCTCATTCTCAGGCTCCAAGCGCTTGATGCATTCTCGGATGTTTGCCAGCTCCCCCTTAGTCGCCCCTGCCCCCCGTCATCTGCGCCTCCTCCCACCTGCTCCCCCTTGCCCCATCCCGTCCTTGAGTTGCTTCTACAGCTTCGCGATGAGAGCACCCTTTTCCTCGAGCTGCTCCGCGCGCTTCTTGTCGGGCAAAAATAACTTGTCATTGCAAGTCATCAGTCAACGCCCCCAGGCGAGAGTGTCCCGCCGTCGGCGCACCGCGCGATGGCGGGCGCCCGCATGTCCACCCGCCACGCGCCGCCGCTACGTCGGGCGGGCCAGGCCCCGCGCGGGCATGCTGGCGTGCCGCGCGGCCGTGCGTCGGGGTCCATCCTCCCCCCGCTCCTCCGCGCACGGTCGCGATGTCTCCTCTTTGCCGCCTGGCCGCGGGGCGGGATATCAAGTGCCCGGTCATGTCTGCAGCGCCCCACCTGCCTAGTGTGCACTCTTAAGGTGGGGCGGCTGGCCGGGGTGTGGTCCTCTGTCTGCCAGCGTGCGGCTCTGGACCAACCCTGGGGGCGACGCGCGGGGCGTCCGCTCGCCAGAGTGCGTCGGACGCGACCGCGGTCGCGACCGAGGACGATGGGCGAACGCCAGGTCCAACGGTGGCGAGGCGGCGCGGGCGCGCCCGTCGAGTCAAGGCTCTGCGAGCTCGGCTTCTTCATCGTCCTCTTCCTCGAGCGCGCGGTTATGGGCACCCCGCGTGGTCCGTCGCAGACCGCTTCTCTGGGCGCGTTGCACGCGCGCGACGTCTTCGCGCGCGGCCGCGCGCGCAGGGCATCCCAGGGCCGGCGCCGCCACCGGGGCCTCCACCCGCGACGCTTACGGCCCGTCGGCGGCGCAGCCGCAGCTCGGCAGCGGGCCCAGCGGCAGCGGTACGCCGTGCGCTACGTACGGCAACGGAAGGTTTCGAGCGTCAGATGGGCGATCCGCGCTGCGAGATCGCGAAGGCTGCCGCAGCCGTCGCGTCGCCCGAGGCGGGGCGGGCGTGGGCCCAGGTTACCCGCAACAGCGCCCTGCTCGGTTCGTGCCCGCGGTCACTACCGCAGGTTCGCAGCGGCTTCGGATGTTGGGCGAAGTTCGCGCGCGACGTTTTGCTGCGCAAAGGCAGCGGGCTCCCGCCGTCGGTCGACGGTCTTTTGCTCTGGTCTACGACGTTCAGGTGTCGCGCGACGTTCTGCAATTACCTTTCGCATTTGAAGAAGGCATGCCACGTCGCGCGCGTGGCAGACGCAGCGTTCACGCACGCGTCGCTGGCCGGCGCCAAGCTGGCTATCGAGAAGCGTTCGGGTTGGTCGGCACGACCCCGCATGGCGGTCCGGATGCACGTGCTGGAACAGCTACTGGAACGCCCAGGCGCGTTACCAGAGGGATCCGGGCTGGGTCTCTTCTTCGCGACCGCGCACGCGTTTCTACTTCGCCCCCCGTCGGAAGCGCTGGTCATCCAACGGGCCGCCTCGCTCGACGACGCGTCGCATTTACGCGCGGGCCTTTTCATCGGCGAAAAGGCGGCCGTCTCATCGCTCGCCAGACGGAAGAACCGGGAAAGACGGACAACTATTGTGCGCAATTGATGGTGTCAGCGCTCACGCGCCACGCGCCCCGTACACGCTCTCGGCGCGCGGTTCAACTCGCAGTCCGTTGGAGAGGCCCCGTGGGCGGGCTGGTGCGCCGCGGGTGCACGTAACGCGCTGCGGTCGGCACTGCGTCACACGGGAGTAGTTAACGCCGACGCCTACGGCGCCCGCTCGTTCCGTCGGGGCCACGCCCAAGACATTGTAGAGTTCGGCGGCCGAGTCACCGACATCCTGAAGGCAGGTGACTGGCAGATGCCAGTTTGGATGCGCTATCTTGACGTTGAGAAGATGGAGCGCCAGGCCGTCGCCGAGGCGCATTTCGGCGCGTCGCCCAGCGACGACGAGGGTGGGGATTCGGAAACCCCCGGCGTCCAGCGACGTCATTCCACGCTTGGTCGGTGCAAGTAACGTCGCGCCAGGCCCTTTCGCACGCTCGTTCGCCCTCGTTCGGTCCATCGGTCGCTCTCTCGCGGGCCACGCGTCTGCGGCCGTCTCTCTGCCTGGCATTGGGTGGCAGCGTGCCTGCGGGTGCCGCAGGCCCGCTGTGTGGGGCAGCGCTCGGCCTCAGCCCCTGGGTCCGTGGCAGTGGGTATGGTGCCCATGTGCTTCGGCCTGCGCCCTGGCGCGCCAGCCGCCTGCGTCGTTTGACGCGGTGGGCTGGCGTGTCGGCTGTTGGCGCACGGCCGCGGCCTCACCCAACGTTGTTTGGGCGCCGTATCCCCCCCTCTGGGTGGCATTGCGGCCGAACGTCGCCGTGAAGGAGACTTATGGGGCAGTAATAACTTGTTATTGCAAGTCATAAGTCGACGCCCCCAGGCGAGAGTGTCCCGCCGCCGGCGCACCGCGCGACGGCGGGCGCCCGCATGTCCACCCGCCACGCGCCGCCGCTACGTCGGGCGGGCCAGGCCCCGCGCGGGCATGCTGGCGTGCCGCGCGGCCGTGCGTCGGGGTCCTTCCCCCCTCCGCTCCTCCGCGCACGGTCGTGGTGTCTCCTCTTTGCCGCCTGGCCGCGGGGCGGGATATCAAGTGCCCGGTCATGTCTGCAGTGCCCCACCTGCCTAGTGTGCACTCTTAAGGTGGGGCGACTGGCCGGGGTGTGGTCCTCCGTCTGCCAGTGCGCGGCTCTGGGCCAACCCTGGGGGCGACGCGCGGGGCGTCCGTTCGCCAGAGTGCGTCGGACGCGACCGCGGTCGCGCTTCTTTTCCCCCACCCACCGCCCTCGAGGGGGGGCGTGGTACCCGTGTGCTTCGGCCTGCGCCCTGGCGCGCCAGCCGCCTGTGTCGTTTGACGCGGTGGGCTGGCGCGTCGGCTGTTGGCGCACGGCCGCGGCCTCACCCAACGTTGTTTGGGTGCCGTATTCCCCCCTCTGGGTGGCATCGCGGTCGAACGTCGCCGTGAAGGAGACTTATGCAGGAGGGTGCGCGTGGAGGGAGCGGGGGCCTCGACCTTACCGCCAAAGGCCTTGTCATTGCCGGTCTCGCAGCCAAGGCAGACCTTCCGGAAGCCTTTGTCGAGAAAGGGTTTGGTCGGGTCGCGGCGGCTCATGCAGCCCAGCTTGCATTTCCATGCATGAGCGTCATGCTGCCATGGGGCCATCGAGCCGTGGTGGCTGCATAACCAGTGTTCAGCTAGGCGGAGCCCTCTTGCCAAACGCGGGGCGACTCGCCCTGCCCAGAGGTGTAGCAAGCCTCGTGCTTCGGCACTCTGACGTTGTGCCCGATGGTGGCAAGCTGCCTCCCGCGGCGTCTTGGCAAGCGATGAGGAAACCTGGTGCTGGTCTGGGCGCAGGATAGGGCAGAGATGTGGCCAGATGGTTCGCTTGAAGAGCACTCCGAACCAGATCGCAGCCAGCGACCGCCTCCTAAGCCGAAACCAGGAGGGGGAGGAGGAGAAGGAGGAGGAGGAGGAGGAGGATAAGGAAGGAGGAGGGAGGAGCATCGAGGAAAATAGAGAGAGAGAGTAACAGGGAGGGGAGGAGCAGGAGGAGGAAGAGGAGGAGGAGGAGGACGACGACGACGAGAAAGCCACAATCCTAGGGACGAGGGCGAGTTTTGAGCCTTGCGAGAGCGCTCGGCGATTGCTGTGGGCTAGGGCACCCTTTCCTTTAGCAGCTGGAGCTCGACTTGGGCGCCCAGACGGACAGAAAGACCCCAGAAGGGCGGAGCGCTTCCATCAGCTTCGGCGCCCGTTCCTCGATCATCCCGGGCCCTGGAGCAAACTGCGGCTGTTCAGGACAGAGCATGTGTGGCACGTCCTTGATCCAAAGCGCTACGGCGCATCCCGCCCGCCCCCGGCACGGGGCGCCGCACTTCGGCGCGATGCGCCGCACTTCGGCGCGATGCGGGCGTTCAGTCCCGTCTTGCACGGCAAGTTCGTGCCGCGCCGACGTGGCAGCGACCTCGCCGTGGGCGGCCGACCTTGAACGCCGCCAGTTGCCCAGAATCGGCCAACATGAAACGATCAGGCGCTCTGGAAGCCACCGATGGTTCAGGGTTGAACAGTCCATGCGGCGTTAGAAACCAGCGCAAAGGGTCGTCGCGAAGCGAACTTACCGTACACTCACACCGTGATACACCGAGATGAGGGCCGCTTTGGGCTTGCGAGGGGCTCGAGCCGCCCCTTGAGTGTATAGGTCGGGGGACCCATTCGTTGCTGAGGCTCGCCATGACCAGCAAAGCTCCTCCGTTCCTGAGCCACCCGTCTTTATGATCGCACGACGACTGTGTTCATCCCCCCCTCGGGCGGACATGGGGAAGACAGGGGGCGATGAGCTCTCGCAGCGGTGGCGCGGACAGACCCTCCTCGTCCCCCGAAGGGGTCGTGGAGATCCTCAAGGCCAAGTACGGCTGCGGCAAGGCGCGCGGGGAGGGGCAACGGCAGGGTGGGGGATAGATTCAAGGGCAATTTTAGGGGCAACGTGAGTCCTAATGTTCGGGTTCGAGGGTCGCGGCTTGCGGGCGTTATCGTCGCTTCTCGGCGGTTTCTTGGCCTCGGGATGCTCTCCAGCGCTTTCGCCTCGCCGAAAGCGTTCCAGGGGGGGTGCCAGGATCGTTCCGAACGGTCGCTGGAGAGCCGAGTTACGTCCCGAAAGCCAGGTGGCAACGTCTGGGGGATCGGCTCAGGGCTGGATCCATCGACCCCCAATCGCTCATTCAACGCCGACAAAGGCCAAATCGCCCGGCCAGCTTAGGAGCTTGCGGAATCACTCACCCTATGCCCTTGATAATCCCACCCGGGGGATCATAGAATTCGGGCTTCGTGCAAATACGTAGCACCCCGCAAATGCGGGTAAGAGTGAGGGGGCGGTGGGGACGTCGGCAGTTCGCGAGACTCTGGAGAAACCCGCCGCAGGCGCCAAACTTGCGCAAATTATGCAACGAGCCCGCCGCAGGCGCCGATTTTTCCGTTAAACCAATTTGGGTAGGTGGCGGGTGGGTCGCGTGTGGGTCGCAAATGGATCGGTGGGGGGTCGCGGGGTGGGTCTTGGGTGGGTTGCTGTTGGGTCGCGGGTGGTCGCGGGTGTAGACGGCAGAAATTCACCCCATAACAATCACCCCGACAAGCGAAGCCGCTTAGTAAACGCACGCAAGGAATCAATCGAACAGGGCAGGGCTGTTTAGTCAACGCCCAGGGCCGTTTAGCAAACGTCAATTGCCGGGTCCGGGTGGTTTTTCCTCCCTTGAGGGTGGGTCGCGGGGTGGGTCGCGGGTGGTGGGTAGCAGGTGGGTCGCGGATGGGTCGCGGATGGGTCGCGGGGTGGGTCGCGGGTGGGTCGTGGGGTGGGTCGCGGGTGGGTCGCGGGTGGGTCACGGGTGGGTCGCGGGGTGGGTCGCGGGGGGGTCGTGGGTTGGGTCGCGGGTGTGTCGCGGGGTAGGTCGTGGGGTGGGTCGCGGGGTGGGTCGCGGGGTGGGTCGTGGGTGGTGGGTCGCGGGTGGGTCGTAGGTGGGACGACGACAACAAAAAACAACAACAACAACAACAACAACAACAATCATTTTACCCGAACGCGCGGTGTTCTCCCCAGTGCCAGGGTTTTCATACGACACCAGGCAATACCCCCACTTCGTGGGGGGGCATTACAAGCTCTACCAAATATCCAAACGACTCTTCGCGACCACCCAAACCCAGCTTCCCGCCCTATGACGTTGGGACACTTCACTTCGTGGCGTGCGGACGACCGTGGCTACTACACTGGCGTGGGGTACACACCCACAGAACTTGGTCACTTATTCGGGGCGCGCATGTGCCCAGCATGGTGCAATTGTGCCATACAATACATAATACAGAGAGACGAATGTGTCCCGCATGGTATTATTTGACAGGGATGATGGCCCTGGCAGGTGCGCAACCGTTGTCGCAGAAGTTCGAAAAAAGTTGCTCGCAAAAGCCCGTTTGACAGAAATGTTGAAAAAGTGTTGGGTTTCCTACGAATCCGCAAGAGCGCGCGGGATGAGATTTTGACATTTTTTGTTGAAAAACCATTGGTTTTTTGATGTTTTTATGTTAAAATCGCTCCGAACACTAAGCTTTTGGAAGGATTTCGTCTTGCGCGCGCGAATGTCCACTTTACCTTATTTTTTGCAAGGGATTCTTGAAATTTGATTATATTAGAACAAGAAATGTCATTTTATAGTGTTTTTTGCAAGGGAAAGCGGGGGGGAACAAAACAACCGGATCTTGATCACATCGAATTACCTGAGGCTTCCTCACGAAAATGATGAAAATGTAGCTGCGGCCTAGGCGCGGCGGGGGGGGCGTGCACCAGGGGGCCCAACAATAATTATTCTTTAGAATTAATAATGTTCAACAACAACAACAACAACAACAACAACAGTGACGACGACGACAACGACGACGACAACAACAACAATCATTATAAGATTGTTTGCTCTTACTTACCCGTGTTCCATTTAAAACGAATTCCCCACACTCTCGATACCCTTCCTTATTGTCCTCGATCACGCCCCCTTTGGGGGGATTGTTTCTCTTCGCGGGGGGCAACGGGCTTAGACAGGCGGGCGAACCTGAACGGGCGGACAATCCTTCGTGGGCGTACATGTATTCGCCATTGGAATTGGTGTGGGCCCTGCAAAAAGAAGAGGGGGAGAACGAGGGAGTGTGGGAGGAAGGGAGGAGGAGGGACGAAGGAAGAGGGAACACGCCAGGAGAGAAGGAGCGAAGAGGGGGGCGGTTGATTAGAGGCAGAGAGACAGAGAGAGAGAGAGAAAGACGGATACGAGAGATAGAGAAAGAGAGAGAGAGGGGAGAGAGAGGGAGAGAGAGAGAGAGAGAGAGAAAAAAACAAAAAAACGAAAGAAAGAAAGAGGGAGGGAGGAGGCAGGATAGGAGAGTGAGAAGGGGGAGGGAGAAGAGGGAGGGGGGATAGGGCAGAGAGGCATAAGGATGAGGGAAAGAGGAGGGAAAGAGAAGGGAGGAGAGGAGGGTGGAGGGAGGGAGAGGGAGGAGCAGCAGGAAGGTAAGAGCGTGAACGTTCGAGGAAGTTCTCGGCGTGAAGGAAGTTTCGGGCGGGAGCCCACCATGGGCGGGGGATCCCCTGACGGGCGGGTCGGGCGGGCGGGACATTCAAGCGGGATGCCTGAGTATGACGAGAGCGCGATTACTGAGTAAATTGTAGCGGCGTCCTTGGCGCAGCGTTTTTCCTGAGCGTCGAAAGCGCGATTTCTGAATACATAACATGGGAATCACAGGCGAGAGCGCAATTCCCGTATAAAATGTGAGGGGTTTTCTGGCGGGAGCGGGGGTCTTGATTAAATTGCGAGGAAGTCTTGGTGAAATTGCGGGGAAGTCTCAAGCGGGAGCGCCGTTCCTGAGTAAATTGTGAGGAGGTCTCAGATGGGAGCAGGGGTCCTGACTAAATTGCGAGGGGGTCTCACAAGTGGGAGCACCGATCCTGCGTAAATTGTAAGGAAGTTTCAGGAGCGGGGGTCCTGAGTAAACGTGGAGGAAGTCTCAGGCGGGAGCCGCTGTTTTTTGCAATCCGGGGGGCCACGGGTCCAGTTTGAACATCACAACTTTCCCTGTCGAAAAACAGGGTGCGAGCGTCGAGGGGCACACTTTGATTTAGAAGAAACAATATGTACCGGTGAGGGGGGATCAACAGTACTTATTCTCCAGAAGCGAGAGTTCAACAACAACAACAACAACAACAATTATTTCAAGACTGTTCGCCCTTATCTGCTCGAGTGTCCACTAGCGCGAATTTCCCAAACCCTCGATACCCGCCCGCTTCGTCTTCGATCGAACCCCTTTTGGGAGGTATACTTTTCTTCCCTGCAGGCTGGGCACCAGCAAGCGGCGGGGCGGCCGCGGACCGTCGGCGTGGCCAGCGGCAGCGCTGATCGGCGGGGCGGCCGCGGACCGTCGACCCGACCCCAAGAAGGACGGACGGGAGACCGACCACGACGACGACGTCGACGACGACGACGACGTCGACGACGACGGCGACGACGACGACGACGACGACGGCGACGACGACGACGAGCGAAAGCGAGAGCGAGAGAGAACGACAGCAAGGCCACGAAGGACTAGGCCACGAAGGGCGACAGCGGGGACACGAAGGGAATGCGTGTGGGGCCACGAAGAGCGCGAACGAGCGGGGGCCACGAAGGGCAGATAATGCGGAGCCTTAGTAAGCAACGACGGGGCCACTGAGGGTGACAACTGGGCCACGTAGGGCAGTGAGAGTGGGCACGAACGGCGACAGCGGGGCCACGAAAGGCATGCACATGGGGCCACAACGGGCGCGAACGAGCGGGGGCCGCGACGGGCATACTTATGTTGGGCCGCGGAAGGCAAGAATGGGGCCACTGAGGGCAGCAACGGGGCCACGAGGGACAGTGAGGGGGCCACAAACGGCGACAGCGGGGCCACGAAAGGCATGCACATGGGACCACAACGGGCGCGAACGAGCGGGGGCCACGAATGGTATGCGTATGTTGGGCCGCGGAAGGCAAGGACGGGGCCACCGAAGGCAGCAACGGGGCCACGAAGGGCAGCGACGGGGCCACGAAGGGCGAAAGCGGGGCCACGAAGGGCATGCAGAGGGGGCCACCACGGGCGCGAACGAGCGGGGGCCACGAAGGGCATACATATATGGGGCCACGACGGGCAGCGAGGGGGCCACGAAGGGCTGCAACGGGGCCACGAAACAAAGCGAGGGAGCCACGAAGGGCTGCAACGGGGCCACGAAGGGCAGCGAGGAGGTCACGAAGGGCAGCGAGGGGGCCACGAAGGAATACAACGGGGCCACGAAACAAAGCGAGGAGGCCAGGCCACGAAAGGCAGCGAGGAGGCCACGAAGGGCTGCAACGGGCCCACGGAACAAAACGAGGGGGTTACGAAGAGCTGCAACGGGGCCACGAAACGGAGCGAGGGGGCCACGCAGGGCTACAACGGGGTCACGAAGGGCAGCGAGATCCCGATTCCTACGTAATCGGTGAGGGAGTCCTAAGCGTGACTCCAGCGAGAGCGCGACTCCAGAGCGCCGGCAGAGCGATGTTTGAATAAATCTTAAGGAAGTCCCAAGCGAGAGCGCGATTCCTAAATAACTTGCGAGGAAGTCTCGGGCGGGAACGGGGGTCCTGGCTAAATGGTGAGGGCGTCTCAAGCGGAAGCCGCTGTTGTTGTAACCCGGGGGGGCAGGGGCGCAGTTTGAGCATCAAGATTTTGTTTGACATAAAAACAGGGCGCGAGCGTCGAGGGGCACTCTTTGATTGAGAAAACAAATATGCACCAGTGGGGGGATCAACAATAATTCTTCTTCAAACATGAGAGTTCAACAACGACCACAACAACAACGCAACAAACAGAATTCTCACCACGATCTCCTCATTCAA